GTGATCTCCTTTGAATGGTTTAGCATGAATGTATGAAAAATAACATACAGATCAGTGACCTACCAACAATCTATAAATACTTTGGCAATTGTCTTGTAATTCACTCCTGAGGATGACGCTGTAACGTCGAAACATGTAGAGTCGTCAACTTTTTGAAGTCTGTAGATAGGCCTAAATAAAATTGTGTACCAGTTTAACGTTGAATATTATTTATGATTTTAACTTTGTACACAAGTGCCAAAATACTATAAAAATTTAATCATTAGGCACTTACCCACTGTCTACAGATCTACCAAAAACAAGAGAGATAGTATATCTAATGTTGAACCTCTTCTAATATCTCTACTTATTAGCAACGGATTAATGTTGTTCTGGACACTTCTAGTACAGTTCATAGGATGTTTAGGATAAGAAGAATTGTTATTAACTTCTGAAAAACATTTACTAGCTTAGCCATTTCATAGTCTTCAACAGAAACTTTGCCTTTAGCCATTTTAACATACTTAAAAACTAACTTTAGTAAATCTTCTGAACTTTGTCCATTATCCTTTTCCTATATTAAGGAATATGTTATACTGTATTAATTTTTTTAAAATTATAGCAACTTTTTTGCACATAATCTTTTAATTTGTTATTTTTACTTGTGATAAATGTTGTTTCATGGGCTATATATATATTTATAAATGTTGTCTCATGGGCTATATATATTTATAAATGTTGTCTCATGGGCTATTTATATATTTATAAATGTTGTCTCATGGGCTATATATATTTATAAATGTTGTCTCATGGGCTATGTATATATTTATAAATGTTGTCCCATGGGCTATATATATTTTGGACTGTATAGAATACCATACAAATACAGGTTTATTGCTAGTGATATAGAGCTATGACCAAAGAGTTGTAAGATAAAGATGTGAAATACATCATGTATGTAAAACAAATGGTATCAGTATGTGTAATGTCAAAAGAAAGTTAAAGATTTTGAGGTAAAACAGTAAATCAGTTTTGATTTTGATAATCATTACACTGGTCATCCTGAGTCTTTCGTTGACATTTTCAAGATATTTTTTAAGAATTCAGTTTAATTCGTGCTTTGCTTTATTAAATACGGATGTTTCTATGACAATGTTACACTTAAAAATTATAATTATTTCACAAGTGAGTTTTTACAAGCTGTATATATATATTTTTACTTAATAAAATAAAATAGTATAAAATCAAAGCTAAACTAATTTAAAAGTGAAGTAAAAATTAATATGAAAATGAATTGATACTTTTCAAAATTAAATCTGTAAGTAGGGAAATATTACAACATTATTTCAAAATGCCCGGGAAAAAAGTACTTGAAAAAAGTAAAACTGTGAAAATGAAACCTAAACTTATTTGTAGAAACAATTGTAAATGAGTACATGATGATGGTGATGATGATAAAAAAATTATATTTGAATTCTCTGAAAGCAGTGAACAGAGTAGTTGAGAGTTTATATACTATATTTGAAGTATCAAACTTGAAGTTATGGTAAGGTTACTCAGAATAATCAAACTTATCTTGAGACTTTCAAGGTGGAACTTTTAGTAGTTTATTAACTTTTTATAATATTTACAACAGTACCAAACAATAATGTTTTATCTTTGTATAAATATTAATTGTAGGATCACCAATAGCCATTAGGTTTTTAACAACAATACCAAACAATACTGTTTTATCTGTGTATAAATATTAATTGTAGGATCACCAATAGCCATTAGGTTTTTAACAACAATACCAAACAATACTGTTTTATCTGTGTATAGATGTTAATTGTAGGATCACCAATAGCCATTAGGTTTTTAACAACAGTACCAAACAATACTGTTTTGTTTGTGTATAATTGTTAATTGTAGGATCACCAATAGCCATTAGGTTTTTAACAACAGTAC